AAGTCCTGGACCTGGTGGCTTGCTTTTTCACTTTCCCTCTCTCTCTCTCTGTTTCTCTCTGGCCAAAATGAAATAAATGAATAATAAAATAAATAAATAAATAAAATTTAAAAATAATAATAATAATAATTTTGAATCACAATGTCTAAGAAATGGTGATCGACTATATAATTATTTTATTTCCATTACTATGTCAAGAACACTACAGACACAAGAGTCTTACTAGAGTTGTCAACATTTTTCTCAAATATCCTACTTAAGACAGGTGACTTGCATACACAGTCATCCAATCTTAGCTAAGTGATAATCTTTATAACCAAGAGATATTAAAATGCTTGTACAAACAAGAGAGGTCATCAAACCTTTTATTTGTTCACTTTCTAACCACATGCTCAGACTTTTTATATAATATATTTACTTTAATGATTAAAAGTTATATTTTAACTACCTGGTTGATTTATCCTTGCATATAAGCTTAAGCAATGACAGAACACCAACACAGAAAGAAGCATTGTATTTCACCAAGATGGCTATGAAATGGACATCAACCCTTCTGCTGCTTCAGCTGACTTGTTGCTTTAGCTTTGGGAGCTCTGGGAAGGTGCTGGTGTGGCCGACAGAATACAGCCATTGGATTAATATGAAGATAATCCTGAATGAACTTACCCAGAGGGGTCATGAGGTGACGGTTCTGACATCTTCAGCTTCCATTCTTGTCAATCCCAACGAAAAATCCACTATTAAATTTGAAGTTTATCCTACAGCTACAACTAAAGATAACTTTGAGATTCTTTTCATGCAAATGATAAACAAATGGATATATGACATTCCAAGAGATACATTCTTCGAATATTTTAAACAGGCGCAAGAAGTCCTTTGGGCTTATTTTGGCCATATTCAAAAGTTATGTAAAGAAGTAGTTTTGAATACTAAGCTTATGACAAAACTACAGGAATCAAGATATGATGTCATTCTTGCAGATCCTATTGGTCCCTGTGGGGAGCTGCTGGCTGAGCTTCTTAAAATACCCTTTGTGTACAGTCTCCGCTTCTCTTTTGGCAGCACATGGGAAAAGTACAGTGGAGCTGTTCCGTTCCCTCCTTCCTATGTACCTGTTGTAATGTCAGAATTAACTGATCAAATGACATTTATGGAGAGGGTCAAAAATATGATATATGTGCTTTATTTTGACTTTTGGTTCCAATCACTTGATGAGAAGAATTGGGATCAGTTTTACAGTGAAATACTAGGTAAGTCATGTTTTTCACTGACAGTTCTTTTCTGTGCTTTAAAAGACAATCTTAAATAGACTCAAAGTCAGAGGAGAGTGTTTTCCTCAGGTGACATGATAACATTAAAATATAAGGTGATCTATCAATCTCACAAATATTATGGGAAGGTTGACAGTGTAGGGTCAGTTAGAACCCAGAGATCATTAACCTACCCAACATTCCAGGGTGTCTTATACTGAAAATTAAAGCAGTCAGGATATTTTTAAATAATTACATATCCATTTTAATTGATAAATTTTCACTTCTACAAAAGTCATTATGCACATCAAGAAACATCTTGATGAACACAGACATGTTAATTGAAGAGTTATACATTTCTAGCACAACTCTGTGAGGCATTGAGACAATTGTTTCTCTTTGTGTATTACAATTTTCCTATTAGAAATTAAAATATTTATTTCTCCAAACCTACCTAGCACAGTGCCCAAATCACAACTGTTCCCATATTGGAATGCCCCTGATTCATATTCCAGGACCTTCTTCTACATGTTGAACTTCCACAGACATGCCAGTGATTTGTTTGGCTGAGCCTGAGGATAGATTTCAGCCTGAGGATCCTGTTGGAGGTCCTCTGTCACATTCTTAAAAATACATAAACTTTGAAAAAATATTTCCAGGGACCAACAGATGGCGTAATAGTTATGCCACTGGATTCTCACATAGTCTGCCTTGGTTCAAGTATCAGACCCAGTGGCTTAAAACTTATGTCATGCACATGTGTGAACCTGTCCAGAATCGCAGGAGGAGAATGAAGGAGAAGATAATGCAATGTGGCCAACCACCCTGGAGGGAGATTTCTTGCTGTCTTTCTATCTCTCTATTGAGTGCACATGCCATATAACAAAAGTCTCTAAAAAAATAAATAAATAAAGTTTTCATATCACTAGAAGGATTTCTTCATTGTTGAGAGATATATGGCTCTTCCCCAGTAACCACAGAAACCTATAACTTAAGGTTTTTAGTGTTTCTAAACTCTTTTACTAAAGACTTAAGAAATTTCTTCTTTAAAGATAGTCTTGGTGAAGTGTTAAGAGCCAAGTTATTTTTCTTTATATATACATATTTTACCTATGTGTCTACATTAAGGAATGTATGGGGACCAACCGTTGGTGTGATGGCTATGTCGCTGGACTCCCATGTAGTTGACCACGGTTAGAGTCCCAGACCTGGAGGATTTTAAACTCATGCTGGGTGTGTGTGCATGCATGCATGCCCAAGATCCCAAGAGGAGAAAGGAGGAGAAGAGATTACAGTGTGTCCATCACCCCTGGGGGGTGATATCTCGCTTTCTGCCTCTCTCTGTCTTTCTGGCGAGTACATGCACCCTATAGCAAAAACTTCTTCAAAAATAAAGGAATATATGAGCCAAAGTAAGGATATACAAAAATCCCTATTTTAAATTAATGATCATCTTCCACTTTGAGAAAGAAGGCAAGTGCTGGGGCAGTCAGGTGTCATGGTGGTTGAGACACAAAATTCCCACATGGCTGACTGAGGATCAAGTTCTAGACCGGGAGGCTTGCTTTCTCACTTTTCCTCTCTTTCTGTCAAATTGAAAAATAATAAAAATAAATATAATTAAACAAATAGTTCTTTATGTAAGGAAAAAAAGAAAGTGCTTGTTCAATCCCATACTGACTGACTTACAGGTATCATTTATGATTAGACCAGCAGGTAGCATGGTAGTTAAGGACCTGGACTCCCACACGGTCAACTGTGGTTCAAGTCTCATATACAAGGCAGTTTGCTATCTTAATTTCTCTATCTTTCTGTCCTTGTCTCTGTCTGGTGAGTGCATGTATCATATAGCAAATTAAGAAATAATGATACTGGGACCAGCAGTTAGCATAATGGCTATGTCACTGGACTCCCACATACTCGACCATGGTTTGCATCCCGAACCCGGTGGCTTAAAACTAACGCCGGGCGTGTGTGCATGCGTGCCCAAGATCCCGAGAGGAGGATGGAGGAGAAGGGACTGCAACATGACCATCCCCCCTGGGGGATGATTTCTCACTTTCTGTCTCTATGTTTCTCTCTGTCTGTCTGGCAAGTGCATGCGCCCTATAGCAAAAACCTCTCAAAAAAAAAAAAAAAGAAAGAAAGAAAGAAAGAAAAAGAAATAATGATACTAATAAATAAAATTAAATAAAACTTTTTAAAAGGGGGTTAGTCATGATTATGAATATACTGAAGTAACTGTAGAATAAAGTCTATTGACATCTTTATTCACATATGTATGAACAATATGTACAAAAATTAAATTATATTATGCAAATGTGTGTATGAATATTATTTTTTTCAAAACAGAAACTAATTTTATTCAAGGTTTTTGCCATAGGCCACATGCATGGGCCATAGACAGAGAGAGATGATGAGAGATAAAGTGAGAAATCACCACCCATAGGGATGGCCATGCTGAAATTCCTTCTCCTCCATTTTTCCTCCAGTTTTGGGCATGCATACCCATGTGCCTAGTGTGATTTCAAGTCACCAGATCTGGGACTCAAATCATAGTTGGCAATGTGGGAGTCTAGGACCTTATCCACACATCATCTTCAGATCCCTAAACATAAACCACTTTTATGTTTTGCTTACCTTTATTCCAACACTATTATAAAAAAATAGCTAGTATAGCCACATGACGGTCCTTTCATTTCCTCTACTTAGTGTTTTTCCTCCCTTCAGGAAGACCCACTACATTATCAGAGATCATGGGGAAAGCTGACATATGGCTTATTCGAACCTACTGGGATCTTGAATTTCCTCGCCCACTCTTACCCAATTTTGATTTTGTTGGAGGACTCCACTGCAAACCTGCCAAACCCCTGCCTAAGGTAAATATATTTCCGTTTGTTTTATTTGGATTACTTTGTATTCTCAATGATATGACTCTGCATTCTCCATTCAGCAGGTTGGACTCACAGTAAGAAAGATATGGGAAGTCTGGTTTACTGGCCTACCAATTAGAAACTCATACACTTCTCTTTGTTTTCTTTCACTTTTCTGAACACATGTACATATGCTAGAGAGTAGCAGAGATAGAAATAGAGGCTGGAAAATGAGAAAGCACACCCATGGAGAACAGTCACACCACAACACTTCTCCTTTACTTATCCTCCTTTCATGATTCTGGACATGCATGTACAAACATGTCCAGCCGTGTTTCAGGACTCCACCCACCCATTCAGCCATGTGGGAACCGACCACCTTAACTATCACCCAATGGGCAAGCCTCAAAACTCAAATATTTTTACACCATCCCTTTTATGTGCATTTCATTATCATTACGGAATACAGAAGGATGCCTGGGAGATACTGAGAATAGGTACAGATATATTAAGGCCTTCTTTATTCAAAAGATATGAAATATTCATTCAAAAAATGTTTATAAAGCGTTAACCGTGCTCAAGACATAAATGATAGGCCCTTTTGTGATGGAGCAAATACTTTCTTCACAGGAAATGGAAGACTTTGTCCAGAGCTCTGGAGAAAATGGAGTGGTGGTGTTTTCTCTGGGGTCGATAGTCAGTAACATGACAGAAGACAGGGCCAACGTGATTGCATCAGCTCTTGCCCAGATTCCCCAAAAGGTGAGTTGAAGGGTCCCAGTGGTGGACAGCTGCTGTGTCCCTCTGTTATCTCTATAAAGGATCTGATACCCAAAACAAATTTTAAAAAATTATAATAAGTTGGCAGGACCCAGATCAACAGAGTATGTCAGTGTATGAGGTAGCCAGATGTAAGAGAAAGAGTGAAGATAGACCCTACGCATAAGTGTGGCCCCAAAAGAACTCCACTTCTGACTCCTTAGATTAACCTCCTCACAGTTGAGAAAAAAGGGACTAAGAGATCATGCAAATGCAATCCTGGCTCAGGAAAAGACAGATATTCCTAACTTCATAAAATATAATAAAAACTTGGGTTTCTAATATATAATATATACTTGCACCATAAGCATATTTGTGAATTATTTTGTAGTTTTCTATTTGATACAACTGTCTCCAAATCACCAAAGCAAATATTTTGCTGAAAATCTAATGTTACTTCAACACTCTCAGAGTCAAATGAAGCTGATCACTTGTAAACTATACTCCACTTTATGAGGCTTACTTGGGTATTCCAAAATCAGAACTATTTGATCCTGGGCATGAAAATGGCTTGAGTATTGAAGAACTTATTACTGTCATTACATGCTGTCAAGGCCTTACCAATTCATTACTAAGGTGTTAATAGACAGTTGGACAAAGTTAGCAGCATCACGATTTTTCAACAGTCTTTATTTTAATTTTAATTTTTTGTTTGTTTGTTTTTTTCTTTGGGACATGTGCGCTCCCAGAAAGACAGAGACAGTGAGAGGTAAAGTGAGAAAGCACCCTTCTGGGGGATAGCCATACTGAAGTCCCCACTCCTTCATTCTCCTCTGGGGGTCTTGGGCATGAACACATAGGAGACCAGCTTGAGTTTCAACACTTAGCCATGTTGGACTCCAGCACCTCAGCAACTACACCACCTAAACCCTCAAGAGTCATGCATTTTAAGAATCCCCAACAGGCTCTTCTTTTTTCCACTTAAAGAACTTCCAATCTAGCAACAGTGATAAAACTAGATTCATTTCATATACTGCTACTTACAGTTTATTTTGGAGGTAGTGCTCAACAATTTGTTACCTAGGGACCAGCAGTTAGTGTAATGGCTATATTGCTGAACTCCCATGTAGTCAACCACGATTCGAGTCCCAGACCCAGTGGCTTAAACTCATTATGTGTGCATAAGTGCCCAAGATCCCAAGAGGAGAATGGAGGAGAAGGGATTGCGGTGTGGCCATCTCCCCCGGGGGATAATTTCTCACTTTCTATCTCTCTGTCTCTGTCTTTCTGGCGAGCACATGCGCCCTATAGCAAAAATCTCTCAAAAAAAAATTTTTTTTGTTACCTAAAACAAGTTATAAGTAATCCTAGTTAGAACTGACTTATTATTTACAAGTAAATGATGGCATATCTTTGCTTTTTTGTATATCAAAAGAAGTCAAAATTTAAAAAATACCTTAAGACAAATGTTACAACATACCGGTTAAAAGACCAGATCCCACATGATTAGCTATGGTTGAAATCCCATCTTGGAAGTTTATGGGTCCATGTCCAAAGTCCAAAGATAAGGCATAATAGAGGAATGAAGGCGAGGGAATACAGAAAGACCACACCCACTGGGGAAGTGCTTTCTTTTTCTCTCTCTCATTACCTTCTCTCCTTGGCAAGCACAGGCAGCTCTGACAAGAACAAAAACAGAAAAAAAAAAAAAAACACAACTAATTTAAGGAACAGATAGATATTTGTTCATTCCTCATTACACTCAAAAAATTGAAATATTAAATTTGGCAGAGGAGAACAAATACAAAATACATAAAATGATGTGTACATGATAAGTAATTTGCTGCACAGTTCAATTAGAGAAACTAAATAACAATTTTTTAGAAACCTAGATTTGTCTTTGATCACATTATTTATCTAAGTTACTGTGTATGAACATCAGGAATGCATTACAAAATTGATTATAAAAACAAATACATGAAATGTGGATATTCTGCTTATCTCAGTCTTTCATGATCTCTGTGTATAAAATACCTTGCTATAATTTGTTATCTGTCATGCAGACATTCTTTAGATCTCAAACACACTTTAAATTTCACATTTTGAGTCATGAAATAGGTCTTTTCTTTTCCTAACAGGTTGTATGGAGATTTGACGGCAAGAAACCAGCTACTTTAGGATCCAACACTCGGCTGTACAAGTGGATTCCCCAGAATGACCTTCTTGGTAAGACTCTGGAGAGAAAACACTGAAAACATGAGTAATAGCCAATGAGATGATAGTTCAAAGGAAACACATTTTTTTGAACATTTATTATTTTAAAACTTAAAAATATAAATTAATTAAATATATTTTAGATCTGTTTTCCAGTCCTAGGAGTGAAAAGAATAAACTATAATACTTGCTATTCTATTGTACACAGTCACATTCTGTGGCCAGAAGCAAAGTATCGTCATACAGCTGTATTTACCTGAAAAAGAAATTTAAAAGTAATTTTTTTTATTGTCTCTGTCTCCTATGTCTATAGACTTATATATCTCCATCCCCTCTTGAATGAGTATATCAAATGCCACTGAAAAATAACAGCTGCCCTTTATTGCCAATGACTCTGTGCTTACTATGGGAAAAAAATACACAGTCTTTATCATAAAGCAATTAAACATTTCATGATAAAATGCAGCCTTTCCTTATTTTACTACTAGTAACACCACCATGCCACCTCTGGGGCCCTAGACGCCTTACTTATCAGGCTCAGTGACTTCACTGCACTTTATGAGATTATGACTGAACATGTTCCCTAGACTTCACTATTTCTACTTATTTGAACATGTTGCTTATTTCATTTTATTTAGTTAGTTAAAGTTCTGCCATAGGCCTGTGAACTGGAGAAAGACGCAGAAAGAGAAAGAAGGAAAGTAGAAATCACCCCCAGGGAGGGTGGCCACTCCACAGTCCCTTCTCTTCCACTCTTCTCTCAGGATTTTTAGCATGCACACACTCACACTGAGCATGATTTTCAAACTGCCAAGTTCAGTACTCGGACCACAGTCGTTCATTTGGGAATCCAGCATCATAACCCTCATTCCAACTGCTGGCCCACAGGCTGCTTCTCTTACCATGTTTTCTTTCATTTTGTCTATGAAAATATTTTCTTGTTGTTTAATTATTTTTATAGTTTATTTTATAATTCTTTATTTACATTTACTGGTTGTACGTCCTAGTGGGGTACAACATGGACCTGCAAAGTATACATGCAGTGTGTGATATCAAACCAAGGATAATTATATATTCATCATTTGAAACATTTTCACATTTGATATATATATATATATATGTGTGTGTTGAAAGATAAACACTGTGTGTTTCCATTCATTACATACCAAGTGTCTATACTTTATGTAGAAATTGAGAGAATTAAACACAGAAACTCCCACAAAGCCAGCCATGATTTCAATCCTAGACCAGGTGTCTTGCTTTCTCATTCTCTCTGTCTCTCGCTAGTGAACACATGTGCTCTATAGCAAACTTACAAATTTAATAATAATAATAATAATTTTAAAAATTAAATAAATTAAATTAAATTTTAAAAATTAAAGGAAAAAGAAAAGAACTGCAGAGGACAACTCTAGATACCAGAGAGAAACGTTGTATTCATTGTTCGAGCTTAAAGACGCACACCACATCTTTCACATTGCTTTCCAATAGTTTTCCAGCACACTTACATGCTTCTTGATCTGAAATATGGAAGTAGTTTCAATGATATTTAAACACTGCCACTTTTAGTGTCATTTGTATTTCTCCTCTAATTTCTGACACTCATAAGTACTAATTTTGCTAAAACTTGCCCAATTCCAGGTCATCCAAAAACCAAAGCTTTTATAACTCATTGTGGCACCAACGGCATCTATGAGGCCATCTACCATGGGATCCCTATGGTGGGAATTCCTTTGTTTGGAGACCAACCTCAAAACATTGCTCACCTGAAAGCCAAAGGAGTAGCTGTTAGAGTGGACTTTAACACCATGTCAAGTACAGATTTGCTCAATGCATTGAAGACAGTCATTACTGATCCTTCGTGAGTATAATATTTTTTATATACTATTTATAGATTGGTTCTCTCGTCAACAGTGAATATAACATTTATCATTTTTGAAAAGATTAATTTTTAATGAATTTAAATAACTTACCTCATTGGAACCCATTTAAACCACTTACTTCAAATCTGAATTTGAATATTGCTAATTAATCAGTTAGTTCAAGAATTTCTAAGCACACTCAGTAAAATTGAATTTTAGTAACTAATTGTAATAAAGACATTATTTTCTAAATATGGTAGAATCCCCAAAAGAAGAAAATTATAAACTTACAGATATATGATAAATTATTTTCATTCAGTAAATATCTTAACTATAAAAATACATATGTAATGGATAAAACAATGAATAAGTTAAATACAAATTAAATATAAAATGTTAAAATAAAATAAATATTTTAATTCAAAATGTTGATTACAACAAATCTTTTTTCTCCTGAATTGTGTACTTTAATTTGCATTGTTTTAACATTTTATAGTGATACATACTATACAGACTATAAAATTCATTCCTTTACAGCATAAATTGCAGATACATTTAGTATTTTTATAACTTTACGAACCTCTCAATATAATTTCAGAACCTTTTTATCCTCTCAAAAGAAACATCATCCCATGGTTCTCTAGCCCTAGACAACCCTCAATTTACTTTCTGTCTCTATAGATTTTCTCCTCTCTGTAGATCTTATATAAATGAATCATCTAATTTACTGTCATTTGTAACTGTCTTCTTTCCTTAGCACAATATTTCATTTTCAATGTCATTCAAATTCTATCTAGGTATCAATAGTTTGTTTCATTATAACTGAATAATATTCAATGGTATGGATATACCACACCCCATTTATTCATTCATCAGTTCATAAAAGTTTTGGTTTTCCAATTATATTATCAACATTGCTATATGAGGAGACTTTAAGACTTTGTGTAAAAATTAAAGCAGGTATTTATTCTCATAGAAAAAAAAATCTTAAAATCCATGCATCCTTTTTTTCATAATGTGTATTTTCCATGAGTTTTTGAAAACCCCTCACATTTATTTATGTGTCTGTACCTTATGTTGTTCAGTAGGAAATAAGAATGGCATTTCAGGGTAATATGAGAAACAGATTTATGAATATCTGCCAAACTGTGTTCTAGAGTAGTTGCAAACTTTCAGTCCCACTTGGAGTACAGGAGACTTCCAATTTAACCACATCATTGGTAACAGTTTTCTTTATCTTTTTATTATAGCTACCCTAGTAGGATTGAAGTTGTATCTCATTCTGTATTTTTTCTTTTTTGAGAGTTTTTTTGCAATAGGGCACGTGCGTTTGCCAGACAGAGAGAGACAGAGAGACAGAAAGCGAGAAATCACCCCCAAGAGGGGATGATCATGCCACAATCCCTTCTCTTCCATTCTTCTCTTGGGATCTTGGGCATGCACACACACACGCCTGGCATGAGTTGTAAGCCACCGGGTCCAGGACGCGAACCGTGGTCGACTACGTGGGAGTCCAGCGACATAGCCATTACGCTAACTGCTGGTCCCTCTCATTCTGTTATTTATTTGGATTTCTCTTATGGCTAAAGCATTACCTTTTCTTATAATTTTTTTAAAGAAATGTGAATTCTAATATTGTTTCCATGTTTTAATTCGATTATTTGTCCTTTTAGTATTGACCTGTGAGAATTTTGTATATACTACAGGAATAAGTGCCTTATCAGATAAATGTTGTGGAAATAATTCACCCTTTCTGGTCACGCTTATTTTTTAAATTCTTGATTTAAAAGTGTGATAAAATGAGCTTATAATACTTGCTAAAATTAACCTTTAATAAATGAATTTTCCATATTCTAATGGAAAAGAAGTTGTGTAATATGTATGGCTGGCCATGACTGTCTCCCATCCAGCATTTAACACTGCTATCAATGTTATAATTATATGAGAACTATCACCTAAACAAATCCTTTTAAAATCATTTTGCTACAGGGCACGTGGACTTGTCAGAGAGAGGCAGGCAGAGAGGGAAAGTCAGAAAACTCACCTAGGGGATAATGACCGTGTCACAATCCCTTCCATTCTTTTCTTCTCTCGGGATTTGAGACATGCATGCACACACATCAGGCTGGTTTCTCAAGACACTGGATCTAGGACTTGAACAGTTTCAGCCATGTGGGATCCTTACACATTAACTATAAAAACACAGCTGACCATAAAGGAATACATTCAAAATGCATGTTTAAAAAGAAAATACTAGGATAGTGAATGATAAGAACTCTTGAAAATATGCTAAGAAAAAAAACCAGAAAAATAAACATGAAACAAGTTGAACAAATAAGAAAATATATAATAAGATAGTAGATTTAAATGTGATGATATCTTATATTAACTATAAGACAGCTTTGAAAAGATGACAAAATAATCAACAAATATTGGATTGTGAGAAAGGTCATGTTGCATTTTTGCACACAAAAACATAGAAAAGTACATCATGACTTTGCTGACTGCTACTATATAACCATCATGAAGATCACAACTGAGAAATGTAACCTATGTAGTTTATATCTCAACCAGAAATACATACATTTTTAAGGACAAGTGAAATGGTTATCAAAATTGAACATGCGGTAGGACTTATAAAAGATACATTAAATTGAAAAAATTCAAATTCTGTAGTTTATATTGTCTGATCATACTGGAGTTAAGTCAGAAATCATCAAAAAAAGATAACTAAAAAAATTCAAAATCTTAAAACTTGAGGATAAATCCTCTGTATGATCCAGGTTAAACAGAAAATCAGAATCATACATAGACATTTGCCTCAACCATTCCACTTAGATATATATATACTAAATAACAATATATAACTCTGCAAACCAAAAGACATACACAAGAATATTTACAAAGAACTATGGCTGGGCCAGCAGGTGGCATAGTGATTAAGGTGCTGGACTCCTCCATGGTCAACTGCAGTACAAGTCCCATACCCTACAGTTTGAAACTCATGCCAGGTTGTGTGTTTGCATGCCAAGAATCCTGAGAGAAGAGTGGAGAAGAATGGATAGTGGCATGGCCATCCCTTCTGGTGGGGGAAGGGGAGGCAGAGAGATGATTTCTTACTTTTTCTCATTCTGGGTCTATGTCCATCTATCTCTCCAGCAAAGGCACATGCTCTGTAACATAATTCTCTTTTAAAAGAAAGTATGTCCCCACTTAATATATACCAAGTGTCCACACTCTATGACTGAAACTGATTGACTAAAGGATATAGAAACACAGTAAATGGATGTAAATACCAGATATAGTATGTATGAAAGAGTAGGGTCTGAGGAAGGGACATTTAGAAGGAAAATAGAGAGGCAAAGCATTAATAGGACAAAGAAGTGTGGTATTATCTGTTGAATATATTTTATAGTTTTATCAACTGGACTAGGGAGAAACATTCACCAGTTGAAATATTCACTTTATAAGTTAAATAATGTGATTCAATGTATAAAAGAAAATGAAATTTAAAAAATTTAAGTAACAAAAACAGATGTCCAACAATTCTGAAACAAAATTCTAAGAGAAAAAAAAAGAACTATTACTAATGACCAAAAAGTACTCAAAATTATATCTTACATATGACATTTATGTAATATTTTAATGCAACAGTATACTATATAGAAATAAAATATACCAACAAAATGAGATAAAAATCAGAAACAAATGTGGACATGAAAGATAATTCCAACAAACAAAAAAGCAAAATTAACCCATATTATCATAATTCTGTATAACATTTAATTGAGGGTTGGGATCAATGACTAAAAGTCCTCATGAGAAAGGTGTGTTGCTGGACGGTTTTGACTTTTCATATCACAATGTAATGAGCAGATTATGTTGGTCTCACAAGAGACTAATCATTTTCAAACTAATAGTGAATTTTTCAGATTTTCACCTAGATATATCAATTTTTTATGTATTTGATTTTTAAATACTATTTATTTTATAAATTAATTAATTTTCTTAGTAATATTTTTTCAAGTTGGCTATAAGGCATGTGTGCTCACCCAAGAGAGAAAGACAGAGAAAGAGGGAAAGTGAGAAAACAAGACAACAGGTCCAGGACTCAAACTGCAGTCAGCCATGTGGGAGTCCACTGTCCTAACCACTATACCACCTGCTGGCCCCCAAAATTAAGTTTTTATTACAGAAAATGGAATACATTATTCTAGAAATCAAATAGTAAAATAAATATAGAGAAATAGAGGAAATATCTAAGGAGGCTATAGTTAAGTAGCCAAAAATAAAAGCCTGTCTGAGATCATTTTTAAGGGAAGCCCTCAGTTATGAGATAGAATCAAGTTTTCGAGTGTTGCAAGGAAGAATGTATCAGAAAAGGGAAGAAGGAACGGAAAGTGGAAAGGTGCCAAGGTGAGAGCACATTTGGTGGCTCCACAGAACAGGTAGATAACAATGTATCTAGACAGAATATGCAGGGGCCAAGTGACAGAAGAGCTCGCCAGTGTCTGACCTGTCGGGTCTTAGTCCATAGAAGAGATTTTCAGTTATTCCAAATGCAATGAGAAGACAGGGAAGTTTTGGTCAGAACACTATCCTAACCTGAAGTGCGTTTACCAAAGTGTCAATCTGACTATTGGTTGGAAAAGAAACAGTAAAATAGAAAAGAGTAAAATTAGAGAAAATGATTAGAAGGTTTTTCACCCACCATATCACATTCCTCTTAAAAGCCTTAAGATGATCATCTTCAAATTGCATTTCCACTATCTCACTTACAGAGCTTAGAGTGGCTACCATTTCCTCTGCTTAAGATTTTAACTTTCTCTCCTAACCTTCCAATTTAACTGTTGAAAATGTATGTCATTCAGGAAATTGCCATTTAAAAGCCTAACTTTCTATGAAGACACAAGCAAAATCATTCATATAACTCTCTTCAAATACCTGCAAGGACTTCATGTCCTTAGACAAATTAATTCACTTCAGTAAGGTATCTTTTTCTTTCTGCTTCAGATACAAAGAAAACGCAATGAAGTTGTCAAGAATTCAACACGACCAGCCAATAAAGCCCCTGGATCGGGCAGTCTTCTGGATCGAGTTTGTCATGCGCCACAAAGGGGCCAAGCACCTGCGGCCAGCTGCCCTAGACCTCAACTGGTTCCAGTACCACTCTCTGGATGTGATCGGGTTCCTGCTGGCATGTGCAGCAACTGTGATATTCATCATCTTAAAATGTTGTCTTTTTTGTTGCAGGCTGTTTACTAAAAAAGGAAAGAAGGAAAAAAGACAATAATTGCATCTGAGGCCTGAAGCTGGGATTCTGTAATAAATAGATGGGATTGTCTCAGGTCATTCCCTCTAGAAGAGGGTTCAATGTAAGATTCTCCTCCTTCAATGACAAAGCACCTTTGCACAATTTACCTCCTCAAGACTAGTACTTTTAAATCCAAACTTTTTTCAAAAGATTATCTGTTTAAGAAATATGGATATATCATGTCAAGAGAAAAAAAAACAGCTGGACAAAAATAAAACAAGATTATGTGAGTGTATGTTGAAATTTATTGTAATCCACAGGTTACATATTAAAATTTTTTACTTAGCTTCATTATGGTCAAAACTTGTTGGGATTAGCACATGGCATAATGGTTATGTTCCTAGACTCCCACATAGTCAACCACAATTTGACTCCCAGACCCGGCAGATTAAAACACCCTGAGGGCGTATGCATGCGTGACCAAAATCCGTGGAGAATGGAGAAGGGGATTGCAGAATGGCCATTCTCCCTAAGGGGAGTTTTCTCACTTTCTGTCTCTCTATCTTTCTCTCTCCAGTGAGTGCACACATCCTATAGCAAAAATCTCTCTCAAAAAAATATAAAAGGTATAAACAGACATTGAAATATTAAGAAGTCTATGCATACTATTAATATGGTTTGCAAATACTCAGAATACTTTAACACCCATTTGGTACAAATTTTTCCAGTCTTAACTTTTTCTGTAAAAATAATTAAAAAATTAGAGTTTTGTACAAAAACCCATTCTTGGGACCAGATGGCGTAATGCTTACATTGCTGGACTCCGTATTACTTTCTACATCTCTATCTTTCTATCTCTCCACAAAGTGCACATGTCCTATAGCAAAATTCTCTCTAAAATAATTCATTAGTTTTAAAACAGACCCATACTTCCATTTGGTTTGGGGATACTGGTAGTACTACGTGGTCATTATTGTGCATCCAGCTTCACACTGTCCTTTCTAAACGACAAGTTACCTGCTTCAGACTCAGTCATTTTTCAATGGAACATATGTGGAATTACTAACGTAATGGCTTCTCACTGTTTCAAAATATAAAATTAAACTATTTAGAGAAGTCTTTGCTTTCATGTATTTGTTCTCTTTTCCTCTTAGCCCTTTTAAAAAGATTGAACTGGTTACTCTCACTCATTAACCTCCTTGATAAATCAGGGATTCATTGATAGGCTGGAATAATACAGACCAGGTATTCTAAAGATACTCATACGGACAAGCAGATCTCATAATGGTTACATCATTGGACGTCCAAGTACTCAACCGCAATTCGAGTCCCGGACCAGATGTCATACAACTCACTCTGGGCATGTGTGCATACCTGCCCAAGATCCTAAAAGGAGAATAAAAGAGAAGGCACTGTGGCATGACCTTCCCCCATGAGGGATGATTTCTTGTTTTCTGTTTGTCTCTCTGGTGAGCACACACACCCTATAGAAAAAATCTCTCTAGTAATAAAAAAAAGATATGTATTAAATTTTAATTCCTCCCATGCGCATGTACACACAGATGTCCACTGCTTTCAAAGGAAACACAGTATCACAACCACCGTAAGATTAGTCTGTGAAGACAGTTTGCAGTAGTGGTTGTTATTCTTTATAACTATGCTGTAGAAAACCATATTTAATACTACTTCCTTTCCTCAGGAGCCTATTGTCCTCTTTTTCATAATATTAATATGGAAACATTAAACCTTTGCATGACTGAGAGCAATATATTTACGAAGAGAAGAATGGAGGAAAAGGGATTGCAGTGTGGGCATCTCCCTTGGGGAGTGAGTTCTCGCTTTCTGTCTCCCTGTCTCTTTCTGTCTTCTGGCGAGCACACACGCCTTGTAACAAAAAATACCTCTCAAAAAAAAAAATCTAATATGCAAATCAATTAAGAATAACAACTGGCAAATCACATGGGTAAAAGTGGACAATAACATAAAATATGACAATCACTGATGATTAAGTAAATAGAAATTAAGTCGATAAATAGCATTCCCATAAATTCATATTTTGTATAATCTGACAAATCAAACAAACTTCAACAATGCACCTGGGAGTGCACCATTGCACAATCACTGAAGCCACATGGGAGGCCTGGGTTCAATTTCAGGCTCAGCCTTAATAGTCTGGCATATTGGTACACACCTGTGGTCCTAACTGACTGAAAGTCTGGTGCAAGAGGATGGTAACGTGGAGAGGATTTCAAGCACATTTGTTCATGGCAGATGTTTTAGGTCAGGAAAGACCGTCTTTGAAATCTAACTTTTTTTTTAATTTTTAGAGAGATTTTTGGTATAGGGTGCTTGTGCTCGCAGGAGAGACAAAGAGATGGTAAACAAGAAATCACCCCTCGGGCGGATGGCAACACTGCAATCCCCTCTCCTCCATACTCCTCTCAGGATCTTGAGCACACACACACAAGGACTGGGAGTGAGTTTTAAACTGCCATGTCCAGGACTCAAACCACAGTCAACTATGTGGGAGCCTAGCAATGTAACCATTATGCCATCTGCATGTCCATGATATCTTTCTTAAGGAAGTCAACTTCTACCTAAGTCCTGATCATCCTTACAACAGCGATTGTCCACATACTTCTATTTGCTACTCGCCAGGTTTGAAAACACCCTATGCATGGTATTAGCTGGTCTGGTTAGAGGCCATGTGCAAGGGACATTCAGGGGCATAACCTAAGAACCCTATGAAAGGGATTTCTGCAGCTGCATAACAATAGCAATAAATTTGTTTTATTATAGAAAAATTTAACACGTTGTGTTACCCACATAATTTATAAATAGGAAACCTCTTTCATCTCACTTTCTAAAAAAGGGGTGGAAAGAGGACAATCTGGCACCACATAGCTTATACATGATATTCATAGATCCAGGTCACACATGGCTGATTGCAGCTCAAACCCCAGTTCAACATTTAATAAAACATGCCAGGAACTAGTGTGTGGATGATGAAAATCTATGGTGAGTGCTTGCACTCTCTAGCCACAAAAAATATATAAGTCTGAGGGGTTATAATATGGAATAACTCTCAAATGAAATTGAAAGCAACCTGTTGAGGGTCAGCAGGTGCCGTAATGATTAAGGCTCTATACTCCCACAGGGCCAACAATGGTTCAAGTCCTGGACCTGGTAGCTTGAGAAGCACACCAAGTATCTTTGCATGTGTTGCCAAAATCCATACAGAAAAATAGAGAAGAAATGAATGCCGCATAGCCATACCCTTAGAGGGGTGGTGATTTCTCACATTCCTTCTCACTCTCTCCCTGTCTCTTCAGCAAGTGCATTTGCCCTATGGCAAAACCATTAGAAAACACAAACAAAACAAAACAAAAAATGAACTGTTTGGCCATGTGGTTCTGCATCTAAATCTCTGTCACGCAGATACTTACACATGAACACATATATGCATGGAGTTCTCTCCAGCACTTGAATTACTAATAAGGAGGTTTCAGGAAACCAGTCAAGATGGGCCACTAGAAATACCTACTGATATATATCTCTGGGAAGAAAGGCTAAAAAGTTTTTTTAAGTGCCTAAACATCTAGGAGTACAGTATGACTGACAAAGTGCAAGAAAAAATTGCATGAGCTTTAGGAGATAGAAATCTACCAGAAAATGTAAAGAGAAAATTAATCATATGAATTTGGTGAGGCTCCAGAGCCTTCATCCACTTCTGGAGAGAATGTGAAAGGAATTGCCCTACAGAACTCTGGATTTCACTCTGCTGTTACAGACATCAGAACTCCCCACCTGCAGAACAATAAAATGGGCATGTAGCTCACAATTTTGTAATGAAGTCCATGAATTTAACATTTAGGAGAAAACTTTTCAAAAATATTTTGGTAGAAAGTATGTGCACTTGCCAGAGAAAGAGGAAAAGAAAGTGAAAAGCATCTCTCATAAAAAATGCTCATTCAACAATCTCTCCTCCTCCATCTGTTTCCACACTGCAGTATTTGGGGCATACACACAAACACACCCAGTGTGATTCTAAAGCACACAAGTCCAGGACTCATACCATGAAGTCAGTCATATGGAATCTAGGTGCCTTAACTACCATGCCATCAGCAGACCCAGAGAGAACCTTGGAACTTCCTCCCCAGGAAATTCTATTCTTTCAGACTGTCTGCAGCTGCTGCTCAGCCTCTGTGGTAGATTATGTGAACCTAAATGTTGCCATGTTCTGGAGGATGAAAGTGTGGCCCTATCAGCCTATGGGGACTCTGGAGAGTGGGACTGGTGAGTAACCACTTGGTAGGTTTAGACATATCATTGGATTTTATGTGAGCAGGAAGTGACCTGCAGGTTTTTCCTTACTTGGGCAATCTGTCAGTAAAGACCGGAGAAAAACAGTGGGAACCTGAGAATTTAGCAATGCATTGAATGGAATGTTCTGTCTAAACTGGAATGTCCTAGGAATCAGTGACCTTTGAAGATGTAATCATACATTTAACCCTAGAAGAAAAGGCCCTACTGGATATATCTGGGAGAATTCCATACAAAGATGTGATGGTAGAAGACATTAATCATCTGGTATCTACTGGGTATCAGCTCTGCAACTCTGATGTGATTTTCAATTTGGAATAAAATAAAATTCTGCAGATGGTAAAGGAAATTATTCCAAAGCTGGAGTCCAGGCAGGGAAATTACCCATGAAAAAAACAAAAAATGATACCCACACAACATATGAACAGGAGGTACAGAGCTATCAGGTCAATGCAGAATTCTCATACTAAAGAAGGTCCATTTAAAGGGGATGATTTGGTAAGAAGAAAATTTCACTCACAGCTCCACTTTGACTCATAGGTTATTAACTCAAAAACACTTTGTCAGAAAAAAGAGTGGAAAATCCCTTAGTGACTGCTTATGTCTTAATCCACACAAGAAAAAACAGACAACGGGTATATCATATGAGTGTCACCTATGTTGGAAAGCCTTTAATAATCACTCTTACCTTAAACAACATATGATGACTCACACTGCAGAGAGGCCCTATGTCATCTGCCTGAGGAAACATTTAGTCAATCTTACAGGGTCAAAGACACAACAGCTGGAGGGTGGGGGCTGTATCAGCAAGGCCAGGAGTCAGGCATCTGAGGAGAGCCCCTCCCACAGAAGC